CAGACAGGCAGGCAGACAGGTAGCCAGCCCGGCAGCCCGGCAGCCCGGCAGCCAGGCAGCCAGCAAGCCAGGCAGCCAGCCAAAGTTCTCCCTTTCACATAGGCTAATAAGATCTAGAATCAACAGCAAAATTTTCTATCAAATAAAAAAAATATGCACTTCAATGAATATGGTTGTATTACACCTTATATAATTCTTACATACCGTAAATTGGACTACTTTTATACAATTTTCAATTAACTTAAAGTCTTCTCTCTTCTCAGCCTCAGGTCTATAATGGTTTATTAAAGTTTCATAGCAAAGGGTTTTTAGCTTTAGCTATTCTGCTTCCCTTATTTTGACTTTAATTTCCTGGAATATGTATTGTGGAAATTCGTCATGAGTTGTTTCTCATCTTTGTCTAAGGTTTATCATATCAGCATTTATTAAGTACATCAGCTTGTATGTAAACCAAGTAAATATTTAATACTGCAAAGCTTTCGGTCCGTTAACCTGGGTGTTAACCTTCATGAGTGCAATTATTAACGGGCCGAAACCTACAAGCCCATTAACTGATGTCACCATGCAAATTAATGTACAAGAATTATATTGTTTTATCAGTGCATTCGACGCGACAAGATTGCGACGTATATTAACCTAGGCCCATAATTTTATGATTAAAGTACTTTAGAGCATCGATCTCTCGCGTTTTCATTATCTGAATGTCAGGCGTTTTTCAGACGATATTCGTCGTCAGCAAACATTCGCTCTCTCATCATTTTGGTCTGTATCGTAATCAGAAAACGTTTCATGAACCGCCCGCTTCTTCTGCTTACGATAATCTTTATACAGTAAATAATCGGCTACTATAAATAAAAAGATACATCTTAAGACAATTAAAAATATTTTTAAACATATTCATGACAATGCCATCGCAATCAGATTATCGTTGCACAAAATTTTGTTATACCTCCGCATCAAGGAATCACTGCCCGTATCTTCGGACATGTTGAGTTGCCAATTTTCAATCACATCCTGCATCGTTGGCCTCGCTCGTGGGTCAGGTTTTGTGCAGGCCTTCACCAATTGTTTCACATTTTTGTTGGAAATACTTTTCCTTTGATTTTCTCTATCTTCATGTTCAGGTAGTTGACAGATGGACATCTCACACACCAGAATCCCATAACTGAAGACGTCGATCTATGTCGAGAAACAAAAATAAAATCCCTTAAAAAATCACAATGCAATTTAAGATACAAGGAGAGTTGTAAAGTGTAAATAACACTTAAAGTCGAATGGTAAAGTAGTTGTGCTGGTTGTTATCTAAAAGCTACCACGTTTCAACTGGTTAGGATTACCCAGGTTATAAACATTTTCGATCAAATTTGCTTTTTGGAACGTACGGCACGACATTAAATTGATCCCACATTAATTTTGGTCTATTTTCTCTACCTTAGGGTCTTGTGTAGAATGCTCGGCTTCAGGTGCAGCGTAAAGAGCTGCTAGATTCATTGTTTTACAAATATCCATGAAATTGGCCGAACCATAATCTGATATCTTCGCTCTTCTTGTTGAACGATTTCCAATTTCTAACAATACGTTGGCACTGCTGATATCACGGTGGACTATTGGGTTTGGTTTCTTTGAATGAAGGTAGTTGAGACCACGTGCCACGTCTAATGAAATTAATCTGAGTTCCTGGTACTCCAACCGCAATTCAGCTCTTGCATGCCGAACAACGAATGTACGCAAAGTCATATCCATCAGTTCTGTCACGATTAACAAGCGATTTTGATCGTTTCTTGTCGCGCATATGAACTGAAGTAAATTCGGATGACGACATTGCGATGCAATATATACTTCACGTTGGAGAATTTGCAAGTTACAATCAGATATAATAACTTCGTGATATTCTTTAACTGCTACTTTAGATCCATGAAATTCTCCCTTGTAAACAGCACCATAAGTTCCTCGCCCGAGCACATCGTTAGTTGAAACCACCACGGCACATTCATCAATAGGAAAGCGAAACATAGACCTTAATGTCATCTTGTCGATATATTTCTGAAGTAGCTGAATTTCATTTCTCATATCGTTGATATTGTATTGAAGTTGGTGTATTTCATCACTCATCTCATTTCTTTCTTCCTGAAGACGCTGAATTTCATTGATCATCGCATTTTTTTCGCCCTGATGTTGCAGAATTTCATTGTTCATCTGGTCGATACTGTCCCCACTTTGCTGAATGTCATCTTTCATTTCATCTTTTTCTTTCTGAAGCTGCCGAATATCATACTCCATTTTGTTCTTTTCGGCCAGACGTATAGGAATTTCATTTCTCATCTCATAATTTTCTTTCTGAAGCTGCTGAATTTTATTACTCATCGCATTCTTTTCTCTATGATGTTGGTTAATTTCATTCTCCATCTGGTGAATTCTGTCCCGATGTTTCTGAATTTTACTTCTCATCTCATTCTTCTCTTTCTCAAGCTGTTGAATACCATAGCTCATTTTGTTCTTATCGCCGCGCCGTTGCTGAATTTCCTGGCTCATTTCATTTCCTTCTTCCTGAAGACGCTGAATTTCATTGCTCATCACATTTTTATCTCTCTGGAGTTGTTGAATTTCATTGTTCATTTGCTCGATTCTGTACCGAAATTGCTTATGAATTTCATTCTCCAACGCCTGCTTATCTCTTTTAAGATGCTCAATTTCATGTTCCTTCAGGGAAATTTCATTTGCGCATTCACCGGTGAGCTGTTCAATTTTTTTCCCCATTTGACCTTTTTCTTTCAAGAGCTCCTGTATTTTTCTGTCCTTATACCTAGTTTCTTTCACTTCATTCGACAACTCCTTTTTCTCTTTCTGAAGTTGCTTGATTTTGTTGCTCTTATCAAGATTTTCTTGGAGAAATCTTTCCATTTTCTCGTTTTGAATTTGAAGAGATAGAAAGGATTTTTCTTTTTCGGTCACATGTATATCATCCACAACTTTGCGGAGTTCCCGAATTTCCCTGCTATTGTCAACGTTTTTTTGCCGAAGCGCTTTCACTTCCTCCCTCCCTTGCTTCCTGTCTTCCAGCAGTTCCTGAAACTCAGTGTTCATGCGATCAATTTTTTGTCGAAGTTCCTGATTTTCGTTCTGCAGTTGACTGTTTTCGTGTTCTAGACGACGGGTATTTCGTCGAAAAAGAGGTTGGCATCCCACTATCCTAGATGTCGGGTGATCACGACTCTGATTTTCTAACGAAGTCGTTTTATTCGACCGAACAAATGTCGTATTTTTGATAGTATCTAAACAAAAGTATTTCATGATGATCAGGATCTGAGCTGCGTTTTTCGTAACTGTGTACTGTTTCAGTAATATTGAATCCAACAAATCAAGACTTACTAAACATGTTAATAGGGTTTTGAATTATTTGGTGTCTCTACTACACACGCAAAATGCATCAGTTGCAACAGGTCTGTTCAAAAGCTTGCTACAAGATTTGTTCACACTACTTGCTGCAAGTTGTTGTAGCAAGTCGGATGGCATTATCAGACAAGATGATGCATGACAAGTCTGATACAGCCGATGATCTTTCTTTGGAAACGAAAGCTACCCCACAAAATCACTTTTTATGTTAAAAACTCGTTTTCGAAAGTCTGTGTTACGATACCTACCCGCGTCTTCAGGCAAGTTGTGTTGCCAATTCTCAATGACATCCTGCATTGTAGGCCTTTCTCGTGGTTCTGGTTTTGTACAGGATTTTACCAGTTTTCTGACATTTTTGTTTGAAATACTTTTCCTTTGACGGCTTCTATTTTCTGGAACAGGTCGCTTACAGATTGCTATCTCGCAGACAAGAATTCCGTAACTGAAGACATCGATCTATGTGAAAAATAATTTCCCATAATTTATATCAACAGGTTCTTCAACTGCCTTAATTAAGTCGAAAAAAATTTTCAAGGTTTAAAATTAATATATTATATAGTTTCAAATGAATTAAGTGCAGCCTAGCCCTAGGTACCTGCTGTTACCTAGGTACCAGCGTTTTCTATGCAGCAGCAATAATTTTCATTATTACCTTAGGGTCTTGTTCGCCTTGCGCGACTTCAGGGGCGGCGTAGAGAGTTGCTTCTGGATTTGACGTTTCACACCTACATGTATCCATAAATTTAGCGGAACCATAATTTGATATCTTCGCTCTTCTTGGTGAATGATTCTCAATTTGTAGCAATACGTTGGCACTGCTGATATCGCGATGGATTATTGGGTTTGGTTTCATTGAATGAAGGTAGTTAAGACCGCATGCCACGTCTAAGGAGATTAATCTAAGTTCCTCGTACTCTAACCACGAACCATATTTGTCATGTCGCTCAATTAATGTGCGCAAAGTCATATCCATCAGTTCTGTCACGATTAACAAACGGTTTTGATCATTTCTCATCGCGCATATGAACTGAAGTAAATTGGGATGACGAGATTGCGATGCGATATTTATTTCACGTTGGAGAAATTCTAAATTATTTGGAGATATGATTAGTTCGTGATATTCTTTAACTGCTACTTTAGATCCATGAAAGTCGCCTGTGTACACAGTACTCCAAAACCCTCGCCCGAGTACATCTCCAGTTAAAACTACTACCCGTCTTTCTTCAATAGGGAAGTGAGGCATAGCCCTCATTTGATGTTGTGAAGTTTCTCTGCTCATCTCATTGTTTTCTCCCAGAGGTTGTTCATTACTTATTTGTGGATTTTGGTTGTTCTAAATAAAAGGATTATACAAAGAATCATATTGTGACTTTAAATTATTATCTTGTAAAAACGCAACGCGTACTTGTTCAACAGAGTTTGGAATCTGCCTTACAAAGCAGATAACTGGAAAGGCTTACAAGTGCATTTCATGCAATTTACTATTGCTTCAGTTGGGATCGAAAACGGTGAAATTTTTATATTTTTGCATTTAGAATCTAAGAATCAAGATGTATGAAAAAGGAAAATTTTTCGACCAGATACCATGCACATGAAGTGATTGCCGTATCATGAGTAATGATACATAATGATATTAATATCATATAAAGAAATATTTTCGAGTCTACTGATCGCTTTTTCTTATCTGATTTTGGTGAATCAAAGGTTTTGCTTAATGCTTAGCTGATACTCACACAAAATTTGCAACACCTTCAATTGTTTTCGTCTTTGTTATACAAAGATATTTCGCTGCCCAATGGGAGTTTTACAATTAACGTTAAATAAAATAAAATATGAACGACGACTCAAAATGGCAGGGGCCACGGAGAAGAGGACAGGGCCTTCAGTTATATTTAGTTACGAGCAAACATAACGCAACATATCAGCATATAATAACATATCAATTTCAATGCAAAATAAATTAAAACGGATGCGCAGTACGTAAAATATTGTTCTAAAGGGTTGGGATTTTTTCCCAAACAATAGTACTGTAGTGAAAGGTTCAAGTATCACGATTCAAAAACATGAGTTCTAGGCGGATACTAGTTTGTATCAATAATCTCTTTGTTACATTTTGCTCGATTAACTACAAGAAGCCTTACGTCACGAAAAGCTTAATTCGATAAAATTATTTGTAGAATAGTTTATAAGTTTGAGATATGGTTCACAGAGTAATAATTTGATAATTGTACTTAAAGTTTTTGATAAATATTTAAGTTGTGAAAAAGTTTTAACATTGATCGATAATCAAAATACCAACTCGACTAGTGCGTCAACGCCCTTAAGTAAACAAATACGAGAGCTGAAACAAGCTGCTAACGCTAATCCACACTTGTAACCTATGGTGTGGATCGTGCACAGCAACCGAATTCTCAGTGGACTAACGGAGTAAAAGACATATGAGACGTTAAAGAAGCTCAACATTACTGAATCAACGACAAAAAAATTAAGACAGGACAGAAAACAACGAAAATCATAAAGGACCGAAAACAACGAGAATCCATAAGGACAGAAAGAAACGAAGACTCGAAGAGCAAGAGAAAACCAAGAAGATAACATTAAGAACATTAATATTAGAACTTAGGAACTGTAAAGATCCTACTACCTCGCGTAGAAAATAAAAAACCTGTTAACATTATATTTATATATTCGTCTTATGCCCAACTTATTTATTTTGTAGGGTATTTTTCCTACGATATGAGCACATGAATATATGAAAATACATCTCCCCTCTCTAACCTAATTAACGGTCTAGCTACGGGGCCTGATGGTCATAAATTATTGTGTTGTCTCGTTGCTTGGCTTTTTAAGACACTCGCATACATCTTGACTAATTCTTTTTTAGGGACGGCAAGGTTCATGCTATAGGCTTGCTATCTAAACATGAACAAACCTTTTTTGGCAATATTGCGGTATTATCGCACAGATGCAGCCCTTCAACTGACCCTTCTTCTTCAGCGCCTTGCCTTTCGTTTACGTCATTGTTTTGTTTGATTCTGTTACAATTACGAAAAATTAACGGATTAATATTTGATGTTGCTGTGGTTGTTTATATAATTATATCCAGACATAAAAAATACGTACGTATAAAAAACACATTTCAAGCAAATCCAACGGTAAAAAGCACAACCTTGAACAACGCGGTGCGAAATTAATGAGGAGTATTCATTTGTGCTGAAAATTTAAATTATTTGCCGAAGGTGAGATACGCACCTTGCAAAGAAATTTGAAAAGCGTTCTTCTCTAAAGTAGATTTTTAACCTTAAATATCATTCTAGGCCTGAGTTTTTAACTTCTTTTGTACTTTTGTGCTTCAGTATTTTTGTCAAAATAATGTACTTCTTCATCTCTCACTTTAACAAAAACAACTCGCCGCCATTTTGGAAAACTCGCTTAGGTGATTATCGCGTAATAATCCAAGGTCGCTCGACCAATCAGAGGCCAGAATTTTCAGTGATCACTTTTGTAATTATACAAAAAACCTATAGTCACCGGCCAGGGACTATCACTTAAGAAACAGTAAATCTTGAACAAAAATTCCACATAACGTTACCTTTTCTTTATAGCTCCTTTAACATTTTTTATTTGCTCCATGTTCATTATTTCAATTCTTATTCCTTTTACTTGAAAAGAAATAAGCGAAAATTTCTCCAGCAAACTTTCTTTCAGCCTACCAGATTCAAAATCATCCAAAACCTTGAGAAACCTTTCATCTGTGAAACAGTGCAGTGGCACGAGAAGACTCCCTGTTTTGACTTCGCCAACTTTTTGGTCAGCACTTTCATCACCAAGACCTCTCCTGACAGCGTTTTGGGGAAGCGAAGGGTGAATTATTTCCCATGCATGGAAAAGTTCTCCAAGTGTAGCATTATCATTCTCATTTACTTTCACATGATCAGCGGTAATACGAAACAAGAAATCTCGTCCGTCACTGCTGACGCCGGAACACAGGGCACGAATTGCTAAAGCTCCTCTTTTCCGCGGATAAGTTGCTGTAAAAAGAAGAATTTGGATAAAATTAGTGGTTATATATGTCCTTCAAGTACTTGATATTTGATATTTGACAAA